GCTCCGCCTGCTTGTACTTGAGGGTGAGCAGGTGCAGGTCCGCCATCTCCAGCTCCGTCTGCCGGGCCTCCAGGAGGCGGCCGATGTACCTGTTGACGCGGGTGCCAGGCGCGGCGTGGACGACGTTGGTCGAGAACGACAGCCGGTTCCTGCCCTTTTCCGAGGCAACGCAGGACCCCGAGTGCCACCGGGGACCGTGCCCAGGACAGGGCACCGACGCGAGCTGGTTCTTCGAAAACATCAATAAAATCGACGAATCTCCAGCAAGTGTGACGAGAGAAAGACACCGACAAACCCAGGAGGGAAGTGTCCTCCGAGACCCCGACCGTGAGAGGGAATCGGACGACCTGGGCGAGGTGCGCAGCCACCCGACGGCCGGCCCCGCGCTCCCCCTGACACACACTCCACCGTCCCCCACCGGGAGCATCCGAGCCGCCCGGAGCAGCAGTCGGCCAACTGCGGCTCTGTGGCCTTTCAGTGTGGCTCTTCCACAAAATACCACGTGCGGGCGCACGTACAGTGCGACTGAAACTTCGTGGCCACACTCAAGGGGCCAAAGAGCCGCGTGTGGCTCGCGAGCCGCAGTTTGCCGACCACTGGCCTGGAATTACTCAGAAACTGAAGTCGTCATGTCCAATCCCCCAGAATCAATGCCCGGCCCGGCGGCTCCGAGGAGAATCCCGCCGAACGCTGGAAGGAGCATGAACCCCGACTCTACAGTCTCTTCCAGGAAACAGGCGAGGAGGGAGCGCTCCCCGATTCACGTTATAGCGTCCACATCAACCAGACGAACCGCAAACACAGACGGCGGCCGGCCCTCCCTCCTCAAACAGATGCGGAAAGAATCCTTCTCAACACGAACACCCAGAACTCCGCGAGCTGTCGCCGGAAGCACACGGCACGCCCATGTCCAGGACGCGAGGCCGTCGGAACATTTCAGCGTCGACGCGACCCCCCCCCCACAACGGGCTAAAGAAGACGACGCCCACAGTCTCCCCACGGGTACCGGACGGAGAAGCTCTCGATGGGATTCAAAACCACACGCCAAGCCGCCGGCAGCGGGGAAGGCCGCCCTCCTGACCCCCGACCGCAGGGCACTTAGCAAACCTCCAGATCCAGTTCCCACGGACACGGGCTCACGGCCAAACCCACACCAGACCCGAGGCCACGGCGGCCCCGTGAGAGCCCGGACCTTCACTCTGAGGAGCCTGCAAACCTCTGGGGATCGATGCCTCTTAAAGGCACGGAACCGAGAGGCGGAGGCGGCGTGAGAGGAGGACAGTCTCGGGAGGCAGGAGGCGGGTCCCTGGTGAGCAGACCCGGTCACCCCGACGGAGGCGCCAGCGTGCTCCTGGGGCTGCGGGCGAGGACGGGGGAGGTGGGAGGACACGCAGGCTGCTCTCGGTGTGGTGGGGCCAGACCTCACTCGGCTGCCAGGACACTGCCCCCCTGCCCAGAGGACAGGGGTCCCCGGAGGGGCTGGGGTCTCGGGCCAGAGTCAGACATGAGGCACGTGCCATTAGAGTGGACACAGGACGCCCCCACTTAGCTCCAGGCTCTCCCCCGGACCCTGCCCCCGAGGCCAGCAGAGGCCAGAGAGCCGGACCCACACACACAGGAGGGCACAGCCAGAGACGCCCCTCACCCCCCCCCCCAGGGACCGGGTGACCGGGCAGAGGCCCGAGGGCAGGGACAGGAGGCCTGAGGCTCTGGACCAAGCGAGACACCTGACGTGTGCGTGTCTGAGGGCAGAGTCAGACGGCAGCGGGGCTCTCACGCGTGAATTTACGTGTAAATGGGGGGAATGCCAGCGCGTCCGAGCCCAGGGGGCGGGGGGGGGGGCCCACCTTGTCGTCGTCCTCGCAGGTCATGACGTTGGAGAAGGGGATCTCGGCCTTGAACATCTTGCGGCATTGCATGAGCTGCACCAGCAGGTAGCACACCGTCTTGAACTTCATCCTCTTCGCCGGCTTGATGTCCGACAGGATCAGCCCCGGGAAGATCTGGGGGACAGCGGCGGGGACGGCGTGAGCGGCCGC